CGCCCCCCCCCCCCCCCGCCGGTACCTGCGAGGGGAACCTGCCTATCGCGACAAGAGGCGGGGGTGGAGGAGCAGGCGGGGGTGGAGGAGCAGGCGGGGATGCATGCTGGGGGAGGGGCAACCCCATGGGTGCCGAATTTAAAAGGGGTCAACCCCCAGGTAGGGGGAGGATGGAGCCTGGAGAGTGTCCAGGTTCCAGTGGGCTGAACGCATCCGGGTGGAAGGGTCCGGAGCGAGACGCATTCGGGTTGTGACGCATTAGCCCAGGAGTGTGACGGGGTGAGTAGGAAGAAGCCCAGGGTAGGGTTTTTATGCCTGTGGGTCAGTGCGTTTCGGGCGGTGTCCCCACTAACCACAGGAGGTGGAGAAAAAGCGATCTCCCCTTCCTTAGGGCCCTGGGCTGGGACCCGGAGGTGAGGGTGGGCCCAGGTCCCCCTACTCCTCTCCCCGCGTTGGTAAGGCGAGGAGTGCTCAGAGAGGAGCGAGGGCCTCAGTAAGTCCGAGTGAGACTGGGGGTGTGAACAATAAAGACGCTGGACTCAGCCCAAGCATGGGTGTAATGGACTAAAGCAAGGGAAAGGGGCAGTGAGCCCCATGGCGGGGACAGGACCCTCTCACAGGTATAAAAGAATAGCACCAGCGTATAGGGACAAAAATCAGACAAGCTAAGGCACAATATAAGTTACACTTAACAAGAGACACAAAAAGACGATAAAGAGAGTCGTTTAATATATTGGGAGCAAAAGAAAGATGAAATAAAGTACAGATCCTCTACTTGATTGGGAAGGAGAGCTAATAACTGATGACATCAAGAATGCTGAGGTGTTTATTACTGGTTTTGTTTCAGTTTTCACTAAAAAGGTTAATGGTAACCAGATACTCAGAGTTAGGAGAGGGAATGCAAGACAAAAATACTCAGAAAAATTAGATGTTAAGCTGGCAGGAGCTGATTCAGTTTATTTTAGGATACTTAAGAAATTAGTTGACAAAATCTGAAAACCATTAGCAATTATCTTTGAGACTATATGGATGACTTCTGAGGCTCCAATAGGCTGGAGAAGAGAAACAAAATACCTGTCTTTAAACAGGAACAAAGAGGCCCCGGGGAATTATGGACCAGTCAATATAACTTCAGTACCTGGAATGATGATGGAACAAATTATTAAAGAATAAATTTGTAAGCATCTAGAGGACAATAGACTTATAAGAATTATCTGACATGGATTTCTCAAGAACAAGACATGCCAAACCAACATAATTTCCTTCTTTGATAGAGTTATTAGCCTAGTTAATAGGAAGGAAGGAATAGACATGACATATTTTGATTTTAGGAGGGCTTTAGACACAACCCCATGTGGCATTTAGATTAAATGACTGTTAGGTGGCTGCACAATTAGTTGAAAGACTTTACTCAAAGAGTAGTTATGAAAGAGTCACTGTCAAACTGAGGGCACATTTAGTGAGGACCTTTAAGGATCAGTTCTGAATCCAGTACTAATCAATATTTTTACTAATGAGTTGGATAATAAAAGTGGAGAGTATGATTATAACATTTTCAGATGACACTGAGGAGGGAGGGATTGTAAGTACTTTGGAGGACAGGATTGGAATTCAAAATGACCTTATCAAATTGGGGAATTCATTTGAAATCGACAAAATGAAATTCACCTAGGACAAGTGCAAAGTGCTACTCTTAAGCCAGGTCTTCACTAGAAGATTGGGGTAAGGTATGCAACATAAAATACGAAGCGGGAGTAGGCATATCTTAAGCCAAGCTTGGCACTGTCTTCACAGAGGGAGTCCAACGGGAGCAAATGCTCCCACCAGCTTCCCTTACTCCTTGCAACTGCTAGGAATACTGGTGCTGACCAGGGCTACCCTCAGTGTTCAATTTAGCAGGTCTCAACTAGACTCACTAAATCAAACACCAGAAGATTGATTCCTGGCACAGCAAGTGAAGATGTCGCCATAGGAAGAAACCATTAAATGCACCACTACTAATTGCAGAAATAGGTCTGTGCAGCATAGTGGATTATAAATTTAACATTAGTCAGCAATATGATGCAATTGCTAAAAGAGCTGATATAATTCTGGGGAGTTTCAACAGTAGCGTTATATTTATTTATTTAAATATTTTTACCCCACCTTTCTATTTAAAATATTCAAGGCAACTTACAAGAGCAAACAAAAAAAACTACAAATATATATTAAAATTTAAAATATGAGAATTTAAAATATGAGACCTCAGAGGGACATAACCAGCTAAAAACATATAGAGAGGAGGAACACATACATACAGACTCAAACATTAATAAAAGCACAAGTAAAAAGGGTGGCTTTAGCCTGACGCCGGTTCAACGCTAGAGTTGGCGCCATGCAAAAATCCTGAGGAAGAGAATTCCACAGCCTGGGAGCAAAAGCTGAGAATGCCCTGTTCCGCATAGATGTTAATCTTATCTCCACAAGTGGGGGAACAAGAAGCAAAGCCTCCCCAGCTGACCTCAATCCCCGGGCAGGTTCATATGGGAGAAGACGGTCCTTCAGATACCCTGGACCCAACTCATTTAAGGCTTTAAAAGGTCATAACTAAAACCTTAAATTGTGCCCGGAAACATACCGGAAGCCAGTGCAGCTGCCAAAGCACTGTCATAATTGTGCTCCGTATAACTAGTGTTGGTTAAAACTCGAGCAGCCGCATCCTGGACCAGTAAAACATGGGAGATATTCTCTATTTGCCACTGGCAAGTCTCAGCTGGAATACTTTGTCCAATTCTGGTTGCCACACATTAGCAAAGATGTGTATAAATTGGTGAGTCCCCAGGAGAGCAACAAATCTTATACAAGATTTAGCAAACCTGATTTATAAGATGACGTTTTAAAACAAACAAAAAGAAACCAAGTCATGTTTAGTCTTGAGAAAAGAAGTCTGAGGGGGACCTGACAACAGTCTTTAAATGTGTTAAGGGCTGTTACAAAGAGGAAAGTGATCAGTTGTTCTCCATTTCCACTGAAGGTAGGATTAGAAGTAACAGGCTCAATCTGCAGCAAGTGAGACTTGGGTTAGATGTTGGGGTAGAAAAAACACTGTAACTATAAGGGTATCTAAGCTCTGGAATAGGCTTCCAAATGAGGTCACGCAATTCCCATCACCAAAATCTTTTTTTAAAAGAAGTGAGATAATCATCTGTCAGGGTTGGTGTAGGTTTGCTTGATCCTGCCTCAACTCAGAGGGCTGTAATATATGACCTCTCAAGGTTCTAACTCTACATTTCTATGATAGACAAAGGCATCATGTTCAAAGCTGTGGTAAGACTATGTGTGACCCAGGAACCTCTTGATGCTAACTTGGGATCCCCTGGTTCAATTGTATGCATAATCATTCACTAAAGGGGGACATGTGAGGTCTCTACTGAGAGCCAGATGCTGGTCATCATAACGATAGGGATAACATTTAAGGAATTAGGTACTTGTATTGTGAATTATGTTCTTAATGTCTCTGAGTTAAAGCACACAGCAGGTGACAAACATATTAATATTTTCCAGATATGCAGGAAACACTTGCTTATCTGTCTGGTTACATGCAAACTGAGGATTGTATTCATCACAATGGATATTTATTAGCATACTAAGCTACAAGCTAATGAAGATTAAGTTAAGAAATATACCGAAAGGAACACACACAGTAGGAGGGTGTCCAGTTTGCAAATTAAAAATCAAATAATTGTTTTGTTATATCTGAGCTTGTAAAGGGACATTCTGGTATCTTTCACCTAGGAAATAAATCGACAGTGGGGAATGCTTCACAAATGGAAAACAATAGCCAAGCCCAGCGGTAACAATCTGGAAGGAGTATGGGTAAGCTTTTGCTCTTATATGACATTATTGTGTCATATAAGTTAAATTTAGGTTATAGTAAGCACATTGTGGTTTTATTTTATACTTAACTCCTTTTTTCCAGTATTTCTGCTGCTGTCACTTGATTCTCTGTTCTGTTAAATATACTTAGATTTGTATATTGGGAAAACAAGTACAAGTGCTGTGATATACGCAGAACTGAATTCTACAGAGTAACTGGTAAGCAGCAGTGGATTTAGGAATTCTGAGTGTCCAGTGGATCAGGGGCTGGGCACTCCAGGGAAATTTTGGGGAGATTCAGGAGTTGAAATGTCCCTATCATTAATCTGTCAAGAAAGAATGGGACCTGCAAAGGCCTAACAGGCTATGCTTTTGTTGTCCAGTTAAAAGTGTCAGGGCACTAACCCACAATATGGCATCAGTAGGAAGAATACAGGGCAGCCTCCAATGAGCAACCCCAAGGATGGGCTTGGTAGTCAACTTTTGTTTCAAAGTACTCTTGGCAGGCTGCAGTCCACCTACTGTCAAATGGCTTTATTCTAGTCTTTTTACTATCTTTAGGACCAGCATCGAGGATTCAAAGATTTCACAGTAATAGAATCTCACTCTGCAAATCTTCAATATAACCAGCAAATCCTAAGAATCTATGAAGTTCTCTGAGAGTAGCTGGAACTGGCTAAGGGAGAATAGTGTCAGTTTTCTATTTTTTGGGACAGATCTTATCTTTCGATATTATATAACCAAGGTATTTCACTGAAGACTGAAGTAATTTACATTTTGAAGGTGCATGTTTTAAACCAGGGGTCTCAAACTCCCAGCCCATAGGTCATCCCTGGCTGGAGCAGTTGCGCAATTCAGCGAGCTGCAGGTGGGGAGGTGCTGTCCATTCCCATTCCCCAAGCTCCACCTCTTCCTGCCACTGCCCTGCCCTCTCTCCTCATAGCACTGGCTATGCGGCTTTGGAGATTACCATGGTGGCCTGGTGCAGATTGGCAGAAGTAGTCAAGTCCCCCATACTCCCCGGGGCGGCAGGAGCTGCAGGGAAGCTGAGTGTACTCGACAGGCACACTCACTAGCCCAGTCACTGCTGCCATCCCACACCAGACCCCCTAGTGACTCCTGCAGCCACAGGCTGGGAGTTAGAGACCCCTGCTTTAAACCATATTCCTGAAGTCTGTTCAGATCTTTTAGGAAATGTTCCTCATATTCTTTCAGAGTGACTGAAAAGATGATTAAATCATCCAACAACTTCTATGAGATTCATACCAGACATAACACTTTCCATCATTTGTTACACTTTGAGGCATCATTTTGAATTGTCAGTTACCAAATGGTGTAGTGAAAGATGTCTTCATACAGTCAATGGGTTTTAATGGAACTTGATAGCATCCACTCTTTAGATCCAGTACAGAACATCATTTATATCCTGCCAAAAAGGCAAAAAAGTTTATTTTAACCTGGGTAATGGATAGGAATCCTTTCGGGTATTGCTGTTCAGTTTTCTATAATCCACCGGCATCCAAAGAGCTGTGATCATCTTACTCACAAGCACCACAGGGGATACATATGAACTGTTTCCTCTGTCACTCCAGCCACCACCAAGTCACATACAGGAGTACATACATCTTCAAAATCTAAGGGAGGGACCCTTTCAGATCTTTCTTTAAAAGACATGTTATTTGTGAAATACATTTAATGTGTCTCTCCTGCAACTGTTCTAAAGAATTATGAACAGCAAAAACTTACAACTTTCCTTACTGGAGGTTTCAGTAATCTCTTTCCTCCCAGCACTAGTGAGAAAGGACCCTTCAAAGTCAAGTGGTAATATAACACTATGTCTTTCTTTAGTCACAGCTGCTGAAACCCCGGTTAGCACTGGTTTTATCCACTCAGCTGTCTGCCCCTTTGCAATAACAGTGTGAGGTTTCAATACGACATTCTTCCTTGTTAGGTTTTTGGATCCATAGGCACAAACTTTCTTATTTCCCAGAGGGTGCTCCACACCCGTCCCTGCTCCTTCTCTGCTCGCTATGTTCTGCCCTTCCCCTGACATAGAGAACTGTTGCCTCCCCATTCTGGACATGATGAAAAGGGGAGATCACATGTTCCCCCAGCACAGCCCCCGTTATGCTCTCCCTACCACACATTACCTACAAGAGGGCGTGCTGTCCTCCCACTGCCCCTACCCCCCCTGCAGATTCTGCTGCTCTCCTTGGTGGGGGGGAGCTGGGGCAGGGAACAGGAGCGAGCTTCTAGCCCCAACTCCTCCCAGTCATTGCTCTGCAGCCTGGCAGTGGCCTGAGACAGCCTGGTTGGGGAGGTGGCTTCTGCTCCCTGCCTGGTCTTGGCTGCTAGGAACCAGGGCTAAGCAACCTGAAAACATGTTAGGGGACAGGGTGGGGGCCTCAGTCCTGCTCACCCTTGGTCCCTGGTGTCCGAGCCCAAGGATCAAGCGTGAGTCTTTTGACTTTGTCAGAAATCTGTCTTCCCTCAGCTCTTTGACTTGTGCTCACCGGATAGGAATCTACTTCTCCACTCGGTGTTGATGAACTACCTGAAAAACATTTCTGTTTGTATTTCACATCAGTGACAGTTGCACTGATGGAGTTGAGCACATGCTCTAACAAAAGATGTTGCCCTTTGGGAGGGAGTCTCACAGCAGGAGTAGAAGCTCCTAGTAGACCTTTGTTGAAACAGAGTGTAGCACCTGTTAACACCTACTGGCTGTGTCTACACTGGGCCACTTATTCCGGAAAAGCAGCCGCTTTTCCGGAATAAGATGCGAGCTGTCTACACTGGCCCCTTGAATTTCCGGAAAAGCAGTAACGATTTACTGTAAGAAATCAGCTGCTTTTCCGGAAAAAATATGCTGCTCCCGCTCGGGCAAAAGTCCTTTTTCCGGAAAACTGTTCCGGAAAAGGGCCAGAGTAGACAGCACAGTAGTCTTTTCTGCAAAAAAGCCCCGATTGCGAAAATGACGATCGGGGCTTTTTTCCGGAAAAGCGCGTCTACATTGGCCACGGATGGCCAATGTAGACGCTCTTTTTCCGGAAATACTTATAACAGAAAACTGTTCCGTTTTAAGCATTTCCGGAAAAAGGTGCCAGTGTAGACACAGCCACTCTGTCCATCACTCACAGGTGTGACCACAGCCTGTGTCTCAGTCTCATATCATCTATAAGACTACACAAAATACCTCTGATGCCTATACTGAAGTATTCTAGCACAAGAACTAGTGCATATAAACAGAAACATTTCATAATAAATAGGAGTCACTCCCCATTTCTGAAACTTGCAGTTCCTCCCTATGTGTATTGACAGAGAAAGGGTCTTCATATTCACAAAGAATCATTGCTGTTTGTTCTCCCTTTACTCTCCTCATATTGGTCACATGATCAAAGGATTTAAGAGCCCTCTCAGTTTTAGTCTAACTAGAGGGAACCTTGAGCATATCCAAAACTATCACACCCAAGTCTAGAAAGTTCTGAGACTGGAGGACTAATTGTGCAACAAGGACCCAGACCCAGCTCACTGTTCCCTGCTCCTCCATTTAAAGAGATATCTCCCTATTAAGCCTATGGATACAGGTTCCCAGGTAAGTGGTGATAATCAGGTAAGGAGTGAAAGCTCAGTCACAAAGAACATTTAACTCAAGATTGGACAAAATACTAGAAAATTGACTGTATAGAAGAATTCTGGCTTGGGCAGGAAATGAATGGACTAATCGAATGGATCCTTTCCACCTCTTGTTTATAGACTTTCGGTGTACTGAAGAAGGGGACCATGAGCTTGTTGACTCAGAGGCTTAAGGCCCTGACCTGACACCAAGGTTTACAATAACTGGTGATCATCCAGTAGGGAAAATGATGTGGCATTATTCTGTGAGGTATTTGTAAAACTGAAATTCTATGGTTAATTCACTGTCTGCTAAATGACAGTTCTAGATCCTGCTGCTGCTGTCATGTACCATAAGCCCAGAGCATTCTGAATCAGGTGCAGTTTGGCTTGGATGCTGAGAAGGTCTTTCTATGCTTGTCATTGTCACTCACACAGAACAGCTCCCAGCAGTCCATATAAATCAGTCTTCCTATACAAAACTCTGGACAGGTAAATGAAAATAGATTTGGCACTTATCCTGGCTATAATGATGCTGGCAGCTGTTCTTGCTGTCGGTGTCTGCTGTATTTTCAGGCTATGGTGGATGACGGATTTAAAATCTCTTATTAAAGAAAACAAAATCAGCATCAAATATACAACTTTCTCGTTTCTTATTTTTTCTCCTTTTCAGCCCAAATGGATTGTCGAAATTCGGGGCCCCTTGGGCATTTCAGTTTGGAAACAGAAATTGAGAACAATCAGGTATTTCTTTGGGGCAGTTTTGTTTATTCAGAAAGAATGTGCAAAGTCCTGTGTCTTTAAACCCAGAAGGAACCATGGACAGAAAACAGCTTCTTTTGCTCAAAGCATCAAGAGTGCTCTGTGCTTTTGTAACCTACATGCCTACTAAGGATACCTAGCAAGAAGGGGGGTGAGAATTGACTAAGTTGTGTCAGGGTTATTGTTACTAATGCTGAGGGAAAATCTTGATTGCTATGGTTGTCCCCTAGTCTCCATCTTGGTTTTTCAAAACAACAAGAAGGACTCCATGTTGGACACCCTCCTTCATGGAGAGCTTCCCACCTCCTCTCCATGCCTTTCTCAGATTAGAATGGGAAAAGGCATCAGGTGGTTAGAATCATGACTGTACAGTCTGCCTAGCAACTGCAAACTGTTGAGGTGGCAGCCTCCCAGCTTCTTGGTGCTGTCCATCCAAGTGGCAGGCTCTGTCTCCCATACTACTAGCCTGTGAAATGTGTTCTAGCTAGGCCAGGATTGTAGCATATGTAAGCAGGGTCAGGGTAAGCTCTACCCTGACATCTGGTGGTGAACTGTGGCAAGTGGTGCAAAGAGACTTCAGGGGGCTGGTCTCATTTGCATAGATACACCCAGTTTGCATAGACACACCCACCCTGCCTAGTATGTGCTCACAGCAGCCCAAATGGTCACTTTGGCCACTGTGGGATCCCCAGTCTCTCTGTTATTGAGGCAGAGGGGATAAAAGTGTTGTTACCCTGATTATGTGAATCAAGGACAATGGAATGGTGGAACTGTTTATGACAGAGGGATTCACCATAAACTAAATAGCACTCGCTAGACAAGGGACATGGGTTCCAAACACAGTCAAGTTGAGAGAGGTTGGGGACAGGTCTTTGTCCCTGGTGGTGGGGCTCTGTCTGAGGGCCTAAACAACACTGAAGCAACCCTTCCTCTCTCCACTGTGGAATTTCAGAACTAATTTGGATTCTATTAGGAGTCTAGTTGTGAGCTGCTGAGTTGACTTCACTGTGGGCCAGTGGAGTACTAGTGCTGAGGCTCCTCTATTATGAGCTGAAGAGACGGAATCACTGTGTGCTGTGGGGAGCCTGGTGCTATACTGCGGAAGAGCCGAAATCACTATTGCTGTGGGGAGCCTGGCGCTATGTTGCTGAGCTACTAGCAGAGCAGCTTGCAGGTACAACCAGCAAGCGCAGGTGGCCAGCTGAGTGGTTTGCGGGGACGACCGGCGGGTGCAGGCGGACAGCAGAGCGGTTTGCGGGGGCAACCGGCGGGTGCAGGTGGCCAACAAAATGGCTGGCAGGGACGACCTATGGCCAGTAGGAGCGGCTGCAGACAGCCAGTGGAGCAGCTGCAGGAGCAACCAGCTGGCGGCCAGGGGCATGGACCAAGATGGCTGGCGGAGCCAGACAGTTCGTGGGACAGTTGAACAACAGGTGGAGTGTGGTGGAGTGACTCGCATTGATGGCGGCAGCAGAACCCTATGGAGAGGCGGAGCCATTGGCGGACCACGTAAGGTGTATCAATCCCCGCCCCCTCCAGGTTGGGATGGCAAAAACCCTGCCGGGTGGACTTTTGAACCCTGAGGCGGCACTGACCCGGGGCAGAGACTTTTGGGGTGTTGGACTTTGGGTCTTTGGGTGATTTTTGGGTTGCTGGACTCAAGAGACTCTTGGGGTGTTGGACTTTTGGGACTTTGGGTGATTCGTGGCTGGGGGGTGGGTCTTTGCTCATGTTTGGTCTATGAATCCAAGTTGTGGTGTTTTCCCAAGTTAATGCTGATGTCGGTTGCCTCATGTTATTAAAGGTTTGCTGCTATACTGAGGCTCTGTGCTTGCGAGAGGGGAAGAATTGCCTCTTTGAGGCTCCCAGAGGTGTATGTAACATTTCCCAGGACACTGGGTGGGGGCTCAAGCCGGTGTTGTATTACCTTGTTGGGAGGAGACCCCTAGATACTGAACCCGGCCCTTGCTACTATTAACTCAGCCTGGCAGAAGGGTTACACATAGGATACCAGATTCCATCTGTGTACTACACAGCATGCACCTGTTTCCATTTCCATCAGTGAGTCTGTGCACTACTACTCAAGGCAATGCACAGGAGACAGAAGACTGAAGAAAGAAGCCTCTAACCTGGGAATCATTGTATCCTGTTTCTAGCATTGCAGTGTTCCTGTGTCCAATGTTTCCAATCTTCATTGGGTCTGTCCAGGATTCCAGAACCACCCTCATTGCATGATGGGGTTTATTGCATGGGACAGCTGGGGTTCATGTCTAGGACAGTGGGAGAGAGGGTACTGTAGTTTCCTTTTTTGGTTATCTCAGTGTGTCAGGTTAGCAGATTCCGGACTTCAAGGCCATTCCATCTACTGTTAACAACTGAGCCATTTGTTATTACTTGTGCTTGTGTTATTTGGATTTTGTAGCAAGGATTCTGCTTTTAAGTCCTCTTTGATCTAATAAATCTTGTTGTATTTGCACTTTACCCTGTTGGCTTCATTCTTAATTACCTTGAGAGATACAGAAGGGAGACAGGCCTGTAGAGCAGCCCATCTTCTCAGAGACCTCAGAAGATAAACAACTTAAAATCGGTTCCAGGCTTACATTAGGTAGATGTACAGTCATCACCATACCACTTCAAATAGTTTCTGGAATTGGAAGTGGAAGTTTTGGGTATGCCCAATAGGCTCTCTGTAGCTGAACTTAATCAACTCTATTGAGAGCCAGGCAATCAGGGCAGCTGCTTTACTAAAGACTATTGTAATTCACCTTTTGAGTTGGAGGGAAAAAACAGCTAGAGGAACAAAAAGCAGGAGGTTTTCCCCTTTTTGACAGAGAAGTGTTAGTAAATCAGGCTATAGAAAGGGGAAATTGGGAAGGAAAGTTAATTTCTTCCATTTTAAATGTGTACTTTAAGGGTACGTCTAGATTACACGCGTCTTTCAAAAGAAGCTTTTTCGAAATAATCTTTTGAAAAAGCTTCTTTCAAAAGAGATTGTCTAGACAGACACCACTTTTTGCAAAAAAGTGATCCGATTTTTCGAAAAAGAGCACTCAGGCAATCTGGATGCTCTCTTTCGAAAAAGCCCTGATTGTGTTCAATAACACCTTTTTTCAAAAGAGCACTTTCAAAAAAAGGCATTCTTCCTCGTAAAATGAGGTTTACTGCTATCAAAAAATCCACCACATTCTTTCGATTTAATTTCAAAAGAACGCGGCGGCAGTCTAGACGCAAGTGAAGTTTTTTCGAAAAAAGGCCACTTTTTTTAAAAAAAAAAAACCCTGTAGTCTAGACATAGCTTCAATGTTGTTTTATTTTAGCCAAATTGTTTTAGTTAAGTTATTTTAACCAGTATGGTTCACCAACTCTTTTCTTATTTGAATGTAATGGCAAGGAAAAAGTCACTTATATTTTGTTATTTGCACTTTTGTGTTTTCCTTGTTAACAGGATGATTCATTTACACAATTAATACTTATTGGTTGGTTGTTTAATGAGTTATTTGCCTGGCTGAATGATTGCATAGTATGGAAGAAGAGGAGAGTCCATGTGGGTTCCAATTAGAGATCTCTGCAAGCAAAAGGAGAGAAGATATTATTGCAGGGTTTTTGACTCAGCAGACTGAACAGAGTTGATGAACAAAGATTTTATCTAGCACCATGGTGAACATGCTCTGTTTTTGGAACTCTGAGTTACTTCTCACTGCATTTCTGTGGGAATGAACCTGTCTAGATTTAATTTGGTTAACATATAATTTATGTTAATTGAAGATAATGTGGCTTATGAAATCAGGCTATTATCTTTATCATTATTAAATTTTATCTAGTTGGTACTTAAGAATTAAGTTTTTTTTTCTTTTTTGGTCTTGTCTGTTGGAAGATTGGCTCTACATGATTGTGATAGGATGCCATCTAGGATTTAATAGAGCCCTAGGGAGGCTGCACTGCAGATAGCCAATTAGAAAGGGGCCATAAAGAACAGCAATTCATGGCTGGTTTCACTCACGTAAGGAGGACTGCAGAGTAGAGCAGTTTCAGTTGCTCCTTGGAGCTCAAGGAAGGAGAACTGGCTGCCTTGCAAGAGGAAGAAAGCTAGCACCTTGGACAGAGCAGTGCTGGGAAGAATCAGGGGAGTGAGAGAGAACCCTGAGCAGACTGCTAGCATGCCAAGGACCTGAGATAAGGACAGAGATGATGCTGGGGCTTCAAGGACATGGTCCAGGAAAGTAGACAGAGATATTGGATAGTGTAGCATGTGGCTTCTATCCATAGAATCCTTGGGCCAAGACCAGGACTAGTGAGCAGGCCCAGGCCTCCTCTACTCCCATTCACCACTGAGGAAGTAGCTGAAATATTAAACCAGCTGTTCTCAAACTGTGGGTCAGGACCCCAAGGTGGGTCATAGCCCTGTTTTAATGGAGTTGTCAAAGCTGGTCTTTGACTTAGTGGACCCTGGGGCAGAGGCTGAAGCATGAGCCCCACCACCCGAGGCCAAAGCCAAAGACTGAGGACTTCAGCCCTGGATGTCAGGGTTCAGAACTGAGCCCTCCCATCTGTGGTTGAAGCCTTTGGTTTTGGCTTTGGGCCCCTCCCCCGCTCCCCACCATGGGTGGTGAGGCTTGGGCTCTGACCCCTCCCTTCTGAGGTGAGGTCCTCAGAAGGAGGTTGCGGTGCAATGAGGTTTAAGAACCCCTTTATAAAGCTAACATATAAAGAAGTATCTAATTTCTGTGGCATTGTAGCCAATGCTTCTGTTTATTTTTGAGAAAATTAAGTGATCTTCCTTTTTGTGATCCTTCCTCTTACTTCAAAATAGGTTTTCTATCTCCTATTTGAAAAAGAGCGTGTGCATGTGCACGCAATTTATAAATTCATGTTTCATTGCTTCTCTACAATGTCTTGCACATTGTTGTCCTGACTGCGGTTGCTTCATGTTCCTGTAACATATGGTGTAGTCATGTATCATAAGATATAGTATCCCTGCACTAGGAATGTTAGAGGAAGACATTCTGGTGACTGTGTACCAGGAGAAGGATTCTAGCAGTCTTCAGACATCTCCATGGCATTTTGATCTCCTGTTGAGCATGGCCTCACTCACCTGCTGTTCATATCCACAGTAGCTCAGTCTCCAACCAACCTGCTCAGTGTGTGTAGTGTTCCTCTCCATGCCATAGAAAATATGGTTCTATTACAGCTGCTAGCTAACAGTTTAATATTCTCAAAAGGTTCATGCTTTAGTTCAGCAATCCAAGGTTGAGTTTCCAGTGATGACAGCCATTATAAACAACATCATGCATTTATTACTGTGATAAATAACCCAAACTATGCCTTGAATTATGAGATGCACATTATTGTTTTTATAAGATCTGTAGCCCCAACATGGTGACAGCTACTACAAACAAAATATCAAAACAAACTGATGCAGTGACTCTTCCTGAATCTGTATACAATCTGAAACAACAGTTCTGAGAGCATCTGAGTGAGTCTGAAAGCTGAAGATGAGGAGGTACTCGTCAACATGTAACTATTTTACAAGTGGAAACATATAGCTTGTATCCACAATCATAACCTGTTTCCCAAGTTAGTAT